TTTCTTTTCTTTTCTTTTCTTTTCTTTTCTTTTCTTTTCTTTTCTTTCTTTGAGTACATTTCAGTTCTCATCCAAGAAGGTTCCTCAGTTCTTATTGGATGGTGGGGAATGGAAAGATTTATACCCCTTGCAGACACTGGTCATTAGCATTCTTTTAGTGAGCCGTTAAGGTCACCTGGAGTTTATCTGTGTCCTCAGGGTCACCTGAGTGGTGCAAATGGGTGTGGAACCTTCTTGAAATGACTGTATTGTAGATTGGAGATATATTATAACATATCCCTCCCCCTCTGTTGAGAGAGGGCTGTTCAATAAGGCTGTTCGAAAAAGAACCTTTGGGACAACCATAACATGAATGACTGAGGATCTCCATAGACATTTATGCAATTTACTGTAAGTCATTGGAAAATAAATATTTTGGAAGAAGCTTTTTTTATGGATCATCTAGTGTTTGATGATATGTATACCTATCACATATTGATAAACAATATCCTGCAGAAAAGAAAAATAATATTAATAGATGGTGATAATATGCCATTCTGATTTGCAATGCATTCACTTTCATAAATACTTGGAAGATATGTAAGCTCTTATCTTTTTATTTCTTTTTTTTTTTTTGTATAATTCATAATTTTTGGCATGATTGTGTCAGATATGGAAACAATATTTTGTGTTTTGTAAATTCAAACAACTGAGGTTTATTTCTTGCTAGGTATGTCTTACATTCTGTACCCTATGCAGTTATTAATTATAATTTCTTTTTCTTTTATAGATCTTATTGCATACTAAGGAGATGGTACAAAAGGTAATATAATTACACTTTCTTCAAATATAAATTATTAAATAGCATAAATTAAAAGAATAGTCTAATATGAACTAAACACAAAAGCATCTCTGGGTATATAGTTTAAAAATTTAATCCTTATTAATGAATTATAGTTTCTTGACTCCAAAGTTCTATAAAGTAAATATGATCTAATCTCTCTGAAGACTGAACGTCTATGGAAATTCTCAGTCATCCAGCTCATGGTTATCCCAAAGGTGCTTTTTTCAAGAGGCAACTGGACTTTGTGGTTTTTCTTTGAAGATGTTTCGCTTCTCATCCAAGCTTTTCGGATAAGAAGCGAAATGTCTTCAAAGAAAAACCACAAAGTCCAGTTGCCTCTTGAAAAAAAGCACCTTTGTGACTCTGAAGCCTGAGTTTCAGTATTAAAGCTTAATTGTAGTCTAATACCTGCATATTCAAATGTCTTATTGAGGTAAACATTTGTTCAGCTTCACTTATTCTTTTGCAGACTTGGAACATATTTATTTTTCCTGGGATAGTTCAACAAATTGCTTCTGTTAGATCCAATAAAATTAGGGGTCATGAAGTCTAGTTAGAAAAGGCCAACATAGAAACAAACTACCAGTTTTATTTCAGTATCACACTCCAATTTCTGCCTACTCTGAGCTTTTTTCAAATAAGTTATCAGAGATTTTTAATAAAGTACAAGCATTTTTGTACTATAGTTTAAGTAACTTCCTCTCTTTCTTTCTCCCATCCCTCAGATGAATCTGGAAGTGATTTATGGTGATACAGATTCCATCATGATAAATACAAACCTTACCAAACTGGAAGAAGTATTTAAACTGGGAAACAAGGTAAAATCTAGCACTGCAAACTTTCTAAGTGAAGTATGAAAGAGTTTCTGTGTCCCAACTATATTACCAGTTTTTCTGAAAATGTTATGGTCTAGTATCAGCCTATGGATATCTTTGCATAGGACCTTTGCATAGGGATGAGCAAGGTGTTATTATTATGGTCTGTCACACAGATATTCAGACTGGATTTGTCATTGTTGTCTATGATGATTATTGTTATGGTTCATCACACAGTCAGCCAGATGTTTAGACTGGATTTGGCATTTTTACCCATCTATCAAATCCTTCCTAAAGACCTGAGATAGGCAGAAGTGGAAGTTTGAGGGTGTTGCAAATATTGTCGCAGGATATAAGCTGTTGTTTTCACTATATATTTGCAATGGGTAAACACCTTTCTTTCCAATGATTCTTCAGCTGCTTCCTTTGGTTGCTCAGCCAGATGTCCAGGAATTCCAACACCTAGTGTGGTCCTTGTTGACCAGGCAATGATTGAACCAGTATGGGTTTCTGTAATTTAGATCTTATCATATTCTTTATGGGAGAGACATTCTTTGTCTGACTCCTCTGATGAGACCTGTCCATTATAGTTGAATCTCTGGCAATGCTCTCATCTTCTTCAGAGCCCACAAACCCCACAACCATGTCAACGTAGTACCTTACTACTGGGGGATTATTATTGTTTGTCGCAGTCAGCCAGATGCTCAGATGGATTTGGCATTTTTGTCCACCTACTGAGTCCTCAAGGACTTGGGATAGGCAGATGTGGATGTTTGATGGTGTTAGATGTATAGTGGCACAATATAGACAGTTCTGAATAAAGCAGGTTTTTGAGTGATGGTGAATTTGTCAATGCAAATGGTATTCAAGTGGTGGTCCAATTATTTTGAGATTGCATCCAAGGTGCCCATGACTATTGGTATTACCTTTGTTTTCTTTTACCACAGGTGTTCTTTTTCTATTTGCAAGTCTTTGAATCTTGTTATCTTCTCTAGTTCTTTCACTTCTATTCTGCTGTTTCTAGTACTGCCAGGTTCACTATCCAGACTTTGTCTTTCTTATTGACAGTTAAGGGTGGGGTGTTTTATGTGGCAGGTGCCTGTCTGTTTGAATTCTAAAGACCCAGAGGATTTTAGCTTCTTTATTTTCTATGACTTTCTCTATTTTATGATCCCACCAGTTCTTGCTTGCAGGCGAAAGGTATTTCTTGCAGATATTCTAATGCACTATTATTACTACTTTGTCATGCCTTTGTTTATAGTCAGTCTGTGCAATCTTCTTGCTGCAGCTAGCCAGGTAGGTCCACTGTTTCTTCAGCTTCTTTGCATAGGTGGCACTTGCTATCTGTTGCTGTCTTCTCAATTCTGGCTTTGGATGCATTTGTTCTTAACTTTTGGTCTTGTACAGCCCCTGTCTCTTTCTCCAACTTTCCTGCTCTTAACCATTGCCAGGTCTTGTTACAATCTGCTTTCCTACTTTTTTATGTACTGTCCATGTAATGCTTTGTCTTCTTATGCCTCCTTTCTGTTCTTCATTTGGTCTTTCTTATAGGCCAGTTTGATTTCTCCAGTATTCAGCAGGCCTTCCTGCTGAGTACTACTAGGCTTTTATTATTATTATTAAGTTTATTTGCTGCCTATCTCGCCATAGACAACCTGCTGAAACATTTATATTCCTTTTTAGCATTTAAAAGAAAATATTTCATTGAGAAATGGTGATATGTCAGTAAATTTTGGCAATGTGAGTTTGAAGGTGCTCCAGGAGAGGAAAAAAGTAGGGTTCTGGTCTAGATAATACAATCAGGCACTTCTGCTTAGAAATAAATTTGTTTCCTCACTTCATTTTTAAATTATTTTTTATGTCTTGTAATGAGTGGAACATTTTGTAATATGTCTTGTAATGATGAAACCTCACAATCTATCTACTGCTAAAACTCTCTTTCCTGCAACCTTTAACTGAGTGAAATGGTGTACCATAGGGCAAATTTTTTTCAACCAAGCTACCTCAACTACTGTAACAGCACTTTCTATGGTAGACTTTTTCCATTAGCTAGTTACTTTAATAACCTCAATCTTGCATAAGACAGCATTCTCATTGATCCCTAGTGTTTCTTATCCATAGTTTTAGAGGGAAGACTTAATAACATTCCATCCCAAGATTGCCTGTGCCCTTGTTAGCTAGGGACAATTGAGATTGACAGGGAGTCCTCATTTAATGACTAATCATTTAATGATTGTTTGAAATTATGAAGTCTCAGAAATGGTGCTTTATGCCTTTCAAGCACTTCCAACTGTCACAAAATGTTGCAAACAAACACATATCCCACGGTCACATATTCGCTATCTGGGTGTTTGGGAATCTGTTTGGACTTATAGCTGATTGCCAAGCTCCCCTCAATCATGCAATTGCCACTTGCAATCTTCCCTGCCAGTCTCCCCAGAAATCCAGTGGAGAAGCCGACAGGGAAGGTTGCAAATTGCTGCTGCCTGTTGAGAGGACTCCCTCTTGGAGGGAGGTTGAAAGAGGTCCCTGTTGTTTTGTGTCTGTCTGAATCTCAGCAAGTGAAATCCAACCTTGCATGGAGTCCAAAATCCTTCCCTCAACATCTCTATGGAGGGCTCTGTACAGGCAGGGAGAAAAGGACACCTAGTTTTGTGCCTGCTTTAACCTCAGCATTCAAGTATGTATGGAGCCCCCAATTCCCTTTCTCCTTGCCTCTGCAGAGGGACTCTGTTTAATGACCCATGAGATTATTTAATGATGGAAAGGGGAGTACTAGAATCACGGTCATTAAGTGAAGCAATCATATGGATTTCTCACAGAAGTGCTTCTGCCCTGTATCAATGGGGCTGGAAAGATTCCCCTTGTTGCAACTATAGTGCTGATATGCAAACTATTAAACATAATGTGTAAGACTGCCCACAAAGTGCATTCTCTGGTTCCTTAGAAAACCTGCATAAAGCAATGTCAGAGGCAATTGCCAGGATAGCTGAATTGGACATCCAGTTATGAGGTCACTACTGCATCTCCATGGGCATTTTGTATATAACTACGTGTGTATATGTATACTTCTCTTTATTATGTTGTCATCATATACTAAATAAACTTGTTTGCTTCACTCAATGACCAAAACTCTGATCATAATTGTGACCACTAACCATTTACATTAGCTCATTTTTTGCTGCATCGCTCTTGGTAACCAGACTGGACGATTATTTTTAATTATGAATAGTTTTGCTCACTAATTGCTTAAGTAGGACAGAGATAAACATCTCTAAAGAAATTGCCAACTTTTGTGTGATTAATTGCTGTAAGAGGGTTTTGGATTTAGCACTAGAAATGTTTATTGGTCAGGTTATTCCTACTTGGGACACCATTCATTCTTTTTATTAATTGTTCAGGTTTCATTGTATGACATTTTATTTTGGTTTTATCTTATTGCCAATGGAACTGCCTCTTTTGATAAATACTTTCTCTTTCCATTAAGCAAACATATTTAAAAGTAGCTGAAACTAAAGGATCTGACTTTTCCCTGGTAATATATCTTCAAAGCATGCATATTCAAATAATTGCTGAGAAGTTCCATTTGTAGATGACTTTCAAAAGTTCTTATTTCTCTTCATCTTCCCATTGCAAGGTGGGAAATCAAAATATTTCCACCTGATGCTAAACAATTTCTCCATGAAGAAATGATTGCAAAATAGTATTTTCTAGTGTACACACCATTTAAAAATATAGTATCATTATTACAGCAATATTTCTCTTTTAAATAATTAAATGTCAAAGATATAATCACTTTTGAAGTTTTTCCCCCCAAGGAAAAAATGGGATAACAGAGTCTCTTAGAGACACATGTTTACATGTATGATCAATATTTTTAGATTGGGTGTACCTGCTCCGTTCTTTCTTTTCTTGCCCTTATATATACTGTATCATGCAGGATAATGGGAAAAGACAAAGGAAATGAAGACACAACTTTGGAACAGTATCTTGTTTCTTGCTTTAATGAGTCTTCCCCCAATACAGAGCAGAAAATATGTGCAAACTAAAGAAAAGAGCTTATACAGTTGACAGGTCAGACCATATTTAGCTGAACCTTTTTGACTAACAAGCAATTTGTTTATTTCTAAAACTGTCTGTCTTATACACAATAATCTTAGGTGGCTCACAACAAAAACAAAAAAACCTAACAATAACAGCATAATTTCACCCATACAATGAAGCTGTTAGTCTTCTACTGTAAACACAGATCAATTCTTTTTTTTCAAAGTTTTTTTATTTTTATTTTTTACACATCTCTTCACGTGAGCAATGTGGTTCCAGATTACAATATTTATACATAGTCATAGTTACAGTTTCAACTTTCTTAATTAATATCATCTCAAATTATTATCCATTCAACTAATCTTTAGATAAATTTCCCTTTCATATTTCAATTCATTAATTCAATATCAAAATCATTACATCCTCACATATATTTTCAATTCTTTATACCCTATTATTTCCATTTTCAGCTATTTTATGTTACATTATGTATTGTTATCTATAACTTTCTCAAGCCCAATATATAATTAGACAGTCAATGAAAGAAAAAAAAAAAGAGTAAAAATAAAGTAAGATTAATACATTTAGGATCCACATGGTATATCCCCCCATCTACGATTTATCTTATATATATTCCAGAGATATTCATATAATCATTTCATATTGTTCCTTTGTTTCCACTTCCAAATATAATACATTCATAATAAATATTTTATATTCCCACATAATCCCTTCTAGTTCATTATGTTTTCTATTTTCTCATATCCTTTGTATAATCAATTGCATTTTCTATTACATGTATACCACAAAGAAAAAAATAAAAATAGAAACAGTTAATTTCCCCTTTTACTTCTCTTTAATCAATTTCAACCTACAGCATTTGTATAACCCTAATTCACATTTTTTTGAACATAATTAATACCAGATTTTTGCCCGTCACCATATTCTCTGTTTTCCTA